GCACATTTTCCCTTTGAGACTTTAATAAAATACAAATAAATAAACAAATAAATTTGTATTTCTGCATGGAAGCCTGAATAGTGACCAGCCAGCAGGAAGACATGGCTACATGCAGACTTCTTTCTCATAGAAATTTTTCAGGACTTTCTCTGGTAGCTTGTCATCTGTCCTCCTTAGCCATGGTGGGCAGATATTGGTGAGATGCATATTGTGAGGTTTGGGGAGAGAGGGACTTTCTGGAAGGGAACATAATAGCAAGTATAGGCAGAGTTTTTCTCACCCCCAACCCCTTTCCCTTCCTTTTTCCTTCTATGCTGACTGCTGAAAGATTGGTGATGTAATGAAGCTTTGCCAATACCTTCCTGGAATGAGAGCTTATGAAGTACCATCCACTTGTTGGAGAAGGTGAGCATGGACTCTGTATTTCCCTTGTAGGCATGATTGTGTGCTGCATGAATCAGCAGGAAGATTTCACTAGGTTAATACTTACTCGGGTTTAAACATGAATGAAATCTCCCCCATATTTTAAACAGTTGCTGTAGGAGCTGGAGCTTTGAGTTATTTGTTAAAGGCTGGTTAACTGGCTGAATGATTAGAATCCTTCTGTCCAGACCATGTGATGGGTGCTCTAATACCCTCACTTAGCAGGAAGAAGCAAGCTCTTAATTACCTTTTAATACAAGCTGTAAATAGGTGATGCCTTATTATGCATTGTATGTTCTATCTGTAGAAGATGATTTCAACAGATTGTTAGTAGCTGAATATATACAAGTACCTATGACATCTACCAGAAAAACATTTTAATGTTTTAAGGAGCAACCAATTTAACAAAAAAAAAAAAAAAAGCAGCCTTTGGACATTCAAGGTTTGGTTTTATATAGACTAAACAGAACAAAGCATTTTCAAAATTAGTAAGTGAATAGCTGTTTCTATGCAAAATAATTTATACTAATAATCATTTATACCTTCTTTGTTCCATCAAAAGTAAGCCGATGCATTGGACAACTGGAAATGCAGTTGTAATATGAATTTGGAGCAACTGGTACATCTAAATTTGGGTAGCAAATTACTCAAACAGCAGATACATAAATGTAAATACAGTTCATCAGATTTTGCTCTTTTGGGACTGCTGAATCTATATTAATGAATTTAAGTTTGTGTTAATCAAATTTACTTAATTTGTTTGAAATTAGGATCTAATATTAATTGTATTTTGACTAGGATTTTCATTTAAATTATAGACAGTTTTTATTCTTCTTTATTCCATATTTTACCCTGAACTCAGAACCAGATTATAATTGCCTATATTAATTTTTATAGTTCAATTTTGATGATCCTTATGTCAACATATGTTTTTTAAAAAAAATCTTAAATTAATATATGTCATAATTTGGCTATTGAGAAATCTAGCCAAAGCACTACATTACATTTTTAATACAAGCAGAGAAAGCCAAGTCTTTTATAAAATTATTGTATTAAATTTCTCCATGTTATTTCATCCATATGTGTTATTCCTTCATTGTACATTGTAAATTTGTATTTTAAAATACCTTTGCACAATATTTTGTATGACATGATAGAATTCTGAAATACACACACTATACACAAAAATACAATAATATTCATGCCAATTTATCACATCTCACTTGGCAGGTAGACAAAGCTCCTTCTAGAAAAGAAATTATAAAATCTGCACATTTTCCCTTTGAGACTTTAATAAAATACTGCTTTGTACAAGATTTGTGAAAAAATCCAGCATTTACAAAATACACTCTGAGAGGCCTTAAGCCAATTATTTATGTCTTACCATCAAAAACAGGGCACCTTATATGGAAACTAATACTGATCTGGCTAATTAAAAAGAAAATAAAACATGGAACAGATGCAATGTATAGATATGAATGAAATCATTGAAAGCAAATAGCAATTTGTATTAAAACACAGAAATATAAATCTTACAGGAAAAAATTGCACACTTCTGCTGGTTCTAAGTCAACTTTTATCAATGCTTCTTTTAGTGCCTAATACACAGCAGTTGTTTTACAGATTTTGACAGAAAAAAACATTCTAGGACCTAAATTAAGGATGCTTATATTCCTAACCATGTAAACAAAAAACAGCCTTCAGTCATACTGGCAAACTGGTTGTCTTCCATGGAAGTCTGTAACCAGACCATACTTATTACCCAAACCCAAAATAACAGACAGCATAATCTAAGGAAAAATAACTTATACTCAGCAAAATAATAGAGAGGCCAATCCCTAAACTAATGTGGATTTAAAACCAAATGTCAGCATTAAGTAAGTATTCTCTGTTGAACAGAATTTTATGCAAAGTACTGTTCATTCAAATTGAATGTGGTGAGTATTCCCACTTCCCATGCTGTGATGTAACAGGAATGTACTAGTTTTGCATGAAAATCTCCATGTTAAAAAAGTTTTGTATGTTTACATTTTTGTATTGGATCAACACGGTTTCAGCTTGGATACAAGTACATGGAGATAATATATTGACGGCATTATTCAGGTATTTTCCTATATTGTGATTACTCTAGAATGGGAAATATATGCTACTTGAAGGTGATTGTACCCATTCACATAATACAACTTCTGCTTCCAGTTAAAAAAAAAAAATGAATATTTCAAAAGATAATAATAAACAGTATCATGCTGGTTAATACTTTACTTCTCCCAAAATACACTGAAGGTAAACAACAGAACAAAAACAAAAAGGTTTGTGTGTGTGTCTAAGTATGAATTAAAACTGGCTTGTCAATAATTTTCTTAAGAAAATCTATAAACTTTTCATGTTATGAAAAAAAAAACTTTGCCAAATTGTAAAGAGTTCATTTTCATAAACAAGAATAGGTTCAGGGCTCATGTTGTACACCAAATAAGAGTATAAGATTACGGTGCAATGTGCAGAAATAATCTTTGTGTTCAGGACAAAACCAGATCAATAATTTGTGTATCTTGTTTGCTGGTACATGGTGCCATCTAGTTAAAAACAGTTCATTACAATAATTTTAGGACATGTTCAAGTTCTTAAGTTGCTTTGGTATAATTCCTAGACATGAACTTTATGTAAAGTCGGCAGTGCCACAATAGTTAAATTCTATTCACGCTGTATCAGATTAAAAGAATCTGAAATATAGAAATAAAATATGGTTACACATAAATAGTTTTTAGAAGTTATATAATCTTTAAAAAGGAGACAAAACATAAGAATCATGCTTTCAGACTCATCTCCAATTTAAACAAAGGAATTCTAAATTAGAACTGAGATATCAATATTATTGCTGCTCTCTTGGGATAATGTTTAGAAGCCATTTTTTGAGTTCTAGGCAAGATGGCTAGTGTAGCTACCTTAATTCAAAAATTCCTGGATTTTATCAACTAAATCAAGTCCTTTAATGAGCATAATAAGTGTTAAAAATAATGCAACTGGCAGAAAACATTAAAAGCATAGTTTGAATTATAATTAAAATTTAAAATTGTATTTATTTGTATAATACAATAGAAAGATAAGTCTTCTGTGTACCATACTTATTCTGAAGATTTTGATGCACCAAAATTGACAGCCAATTTTCTGGGTTTTCGTTTGGTAGAAACATTTGGTGTTGACTTTTTATGAGGTGCCCTTAAATTTGGAGAAGCCATTTTTTCTTGAAAAGTTACTACAGACTGAACAGTTTGAGGGGGTCTTAAAGGATCAAAGGAAGCATCCTGTGAATTCAGTTTTGTGGTGTCAGATATTGACTGATCATTCTTTAACTGTACATCCTGAAGACAAGCTTGGAACTCCTTAGACTCAAAATTCATTTTGTTTGCAGCTGTTTTTTTAGTTACCTAAAAAAAAAAATCAATAACCTGAATTACTCTTCTAAAATAAGAGAATGTATTTATATATACATTCTGGCTGCCATCAAACCTACCTGCAAAGGTATAAATTGGTTGTGTGTGCCAACTGGTACAGTGCCTACAAAGGATGCATTTCCAGGATAAGAACCTGTATAATAAGATTTGCTGTGAACTGGCACTGGGGCTCCCCATCGCACTGAGCCAAAGGCAGGAAATGAAGGAAATACATTAGCTATGAAAAAAAATGGATATAGATATATTAAATAAAAACAGTCTGTTTTCAACAATTCCCACCAAATAAAATTCTGTAGCTGCAAGGTCTGATCTGATGTTACTACATCGGAACCCCTACAGTCTCTTATTTTACTCTAAAATTAATTAGAGAGAAAGATGCACACTTCAAGGAACATAATTATATAACATTAGTAAATTGGTTATTTTTTATTATGCAACTTTTTCTCCTACAAAGAATTTTTTTTCAATCACAAAAATACAACTATTTCATGAGCATTATTTCACTTGTTCATATTAAAAGGAGCGCAAAAAACTTCTTTTTCTATCAAGGGCTACATTCTGTTAATGGCATGAGGAGCTTTTTCTCTTTTTCTCATGTTCCAGTTTTAAGTGAAAAGTATAGATAATTCTTGCCAGAGTGCTTACAAAGAAGCACTTTCAAAGGACTTTTGAGCTGAGACTAAATGATGCCTGAGTCCTTTGGAGAGTAAGTGCTTAGAGAATGAAATTGGGGTATAGTACTTTCACTGGTAAGGACTAGTAGTTGGCCACTGCATAGCAATACAAAAATGGATTTTACATTTAACTCGTTTATATGAAAAACATTTCACATCCCTGAACAAATCAAAGATAAAATTTAACAAATTTACCACTCTGCTGTTGAGTGAAAGCTGGAGGAATAGATCCAGGTGCTACAAGATTTCCCAGTGGCTGATAACCTGGAAATATTGGTGGGGGTGGCAGTTGTTGCTGTGGTGGCAGGGGAAAATTCATCCCAATAGAGCTCTGTATGAAAAAGATACTTAATATTTTCAGCATAAGGAGGATAATATGTTAAAGAAAACCAATGCAATAGTTCTGCAATATTTAGAATATGATCTCACCAACTGTTGTAAAGCAAAAAATGCTGCTTTCTCCTTGGCCTCATTTTGAGAATGACACTGAGGTCCATGTACTAATAAGCCATTTGATAGCTTTACTTGACAAACCGTCATTGTCTATGGAATAGAAACAAGTAATGTGAATTAATAACTTTTTTGCCTTATATTGCAAACAAAAATGGTAGAAAGCTTATCTTTTAGTCCTGGGATGGGTTCCTGAAGTCCCCTGACCAGAACCAGGATGCAACACACCATTAGAATGCAGCAAAGCTTCCCTTTATTTGCATTCCCTCCTATACAATCTAAATTTGCCTGAGAAAGATTTCTAGCAAATTATTTAGGCTCCAGTTTGTGTCTCCAGACCTGTTAACCATCATATCCACTGGTATTTGTCCATTAATGGAGTGGTGTGGATTTCCCTCTTCCCTGATGGAAGGGAATAAATAAAGGAATATGGGAAATTTGCTCCATCTATGAATAAATACCACTGAAAACAATTTTGGTGGCAGAAGCAACTTTCTGTTGAATGTATATGAAGTTTAGGGGGTGCCTACACAATCCTAAATGATATAGTATATCACTTATAAAACTCGCATATCCTTGATTTATATAAGTAGAGAGGGTTTTTAAAAAATAGTATTTCTTTTGGTTTTAACAAGTAATGGTTTACTTATTCAGCCAATTTATTTAACTCCAAGGTTACCTGTGGGGTTCTAAGGAATGAGAAATCTGGCTGCAACATTCCAACAAGGGAGCAGATATGAGAAAGTTCAGACACTGCAGTAGACACTGAATTTGGTGTTCCATGGGGAGGATGGCTTCCTATTTCCATGGCTTGAAGGTTCTGTGACCCTCCTGTATGAGATTTATTCATGAAAGCCACTATCAATGAAACAGAATATAAAAATTAATATAATACCAATGTTTTGATTAAGTCAAAATATTTAGCTTTACTTGCTTCAGTGTGAGATATTCAACTGGTCTGCTCAAACCAGACTTTCATTCTCCCTCTATTTTAGGTGGCCCCTTCAAAAGGTACATAGATGGCTGGGAAACGTCTTTGAATAGAGCAGCTTCTATAGCAAGAGAACTGCAGATCCTGGAATATCAAGACGTCTGCACATATAAATGGTTCCACTTTCTTTTGAAAGTCTATTTCCTCACAAACATCCTTCCCCACTTCCAGTAGCACTTTCAGGATGCTAGAGAGTTTGTTGTAGGTAAGGAAGAAAAGTCTAGTGTTTATAAGTAGATTATAATTATTAATTTTAGACATGTGTAATAATTCAATTTACTAAATAAACCATACATACCCATCTTTTTTGGGTGTCTGCATTGTGAAGCAGGTTCAAGAGAATCCTGTTTACAAGTGGAAGGTGAAATTTCATTAGTCTTTCCTTCTGGAGAGGCAGAAGCATCTATCTTCAAAATTTCTTTGAGCATCTGTGTTCCTTTCTTTAAAAAAAATGAAGTTAAATAGCAATATATAAATATGTGTGTGTGTGTGTGTGTGTGTGCGTGCGCGTAGATACAGAATAACTTGGAATTTTATTATACATTCTGCATCTTAATTTAAAAACTGAAATTCAAAAGGAAATTCCAATTTGACAATTAACACAATCCAACATACAAACCATAGCAAAAGACTGTGGAGATAAATGCTCTTCATTTGTTGGCTCCTTGGAATCAGGTGATTGTTGTTCCTTTTCTCTGAAAAATTTTAAAGATGCCAAAATATCTTCAAGTTCAGATCCATTCTAAGAAGTACATAAAGGTATAATTAGAAGCATACAATATGTGAAAGATCTCCATAAAATCAGTAAGATTTAAATATTACATAGATGTTTCTTGCTAAGGATGTCCAAAACTGTTTGAATGTGTTTTAAAAATAATATTTTACCAATTTTTCTGCAAGTTGGCTTACTCATACGACTCAGCGTGCATTGCTACCCACTCTGCTGTTGTGGGCTTGTGGTGAAAAAGAAGAGAACAAATGGCTTATTCTGGACTCTAACAAAACTCAGCCAATTTGAAATATTCCAAAAGGATTTTTTTTTTAATTCAAAACAAAACACATTTTCAATTCTGAGCACACCCTTTGTTTGTACTATTCACTACAATGTTTGTCATCTGTCTTCTGCACAGTGAAGGAGGAGGTTGTACTTGAAAGGATCTATATGTACAACAAATATACATTCTAATCAAGGTTAAGTGTGTTTTAAGTAAACCAAGTTAGAGACCCACACTTTAACAATAATTCATTACAAAACTGCTAATATGCTGATCTTGTGAACTGTTTCAAATATTTAACCCCACTGACCTTGCATAATTGATAAGCTATAAACAATGTGTCAAATATGGAATAATTTTATACATATAAAGCATCCTCAATGTGCCAGTATACAGGTAGTCCTCAGGTTATGACCACTCATTCAGTGACCAGTCAAAGTTGCAATGGTGCTGAACAAGGGGGACTTATAATTGGTCCTTGAAGTTGCGGCCATTGCAGTGTCCCCGTGGTCATGTGGCTGTGATTCAGGTACTTGGCAACCAGCTCGCAATTACAACACTTGCAGTGTCCCATGGTTATGTGATCACCACTTGCGACCTTCCCTGATGCTTCTCACAAGCAAATTCAATGAGGAAGACAGGAGGTTGCAAGTCGCCCCTGCTGCTTTTTTCCCTGAGGAGCCCCTAGGCAGCATGGGGATCTCATACTCCTTAGTGCCTGCGTGTGGTCACATAACATTGCACTTTATGACCACATGGCTTAACAAAGGACATTTCAGTCCCAATTGCTGTTGTAACCTGAGGACTACTTGTACTACATGTATGCACAAGTTGGTTAGATACAGGCAACAGTATGTTGGGTAGCAGGTAGTGTCTAAATTAAAGATCCTAGCCTGCATAAAATAGTGTGAATGTGCTTCGGATAAAACTGGGCTTTAATTTTGCTTGTGGCATACAAATCCAAATGTGCCAAAACTGGCTGACACCATCCTTACTGTAAGCAGGGAAAGCTACATGTAGCACAGGTACAACTAGGGCTGCTAACCTAGTTCAGGGGTTTTCAAACTTTTTATGGAACCTGTTGGTTATCCACTAAAAGGCAGTTGTGCCATTGTTTTCAAAGGAGAACAAGCCCTCTGTTTTCTGCTACAACTTAGAAAAACTGCTATGGATCTTCCCAGCTGTGTTCAAATGAATTTTTCTTTTTTTTCCTTAGTCTTTTCAGTTTGAAAAACCCTAACTTAGGCTATTCTTCTGTGTACTACAAAAAGGCATTATGTGAAAGCCTTGACTGACCAAAGCCTTGATGGGTGATGCAGATCTATGGGCTCATCCGCTGATGACCATGGCATACAGAAGATTATGCCTTGGAACGTAAGAGAAATAAATGGCAAAAAACAATGAATTAATAAAGTGAAAGAAAGAAAAAGAGACATCTGTATATGAAACTTAAGGGTGAAAGAAGTAATAAATCTCTATGAAGGGGGTGTAAGGAAACTGATAAATACATGCACCAAAGTGTAAGTATAGGTTTAATTATAAATGAAATAGCTAAAATGTACACTAAGAATTATCAACTGATGTCACCTATGGGTGTGTAAGAACATAGGAATTCATATGTTGGTGACAACTGCATGTTACACTCCAGGGAACAAGAATAATGAAAGAACCAGATATGAATTTTGGGAAGAAATGTCAGATTTATTCTGAACAAATCTGATGGAGGGAAAACATTCTGTAAGATGACAGGAACAGATGGGTAGAAACAAGGGCAAGAGTATAGAAAACATGATTAGGCCATTCAGAGATTCAAAAATACATTAAATTAGTGATTGGTGGAACAAAAACCAAAAGTGAAAGTAGAAAACTGCAGAAAAGAAAAAGAAAGTACTATATGAAAAAGTATTCAAAGGCAGTTTAATCTCCTAACAGAAAACATGGAAAGTGAGCATAATGAAGAGGATGTGGAAACTGCTTGAAATAGAATACCGCAGAATGTATGTAGCTTCATTAAAGGGAAGCATGAAAAAGGCTTGGTGGAATATGATGTGAATGAAGCTATGGATGAGAAAAAAAACTGCATTTAAGAGAATGACTGCTATAAAAAATGAGAAAAATATATTGCATAATGTGTAAAGAGAAACAAAAGTTGCAAAGTAAGTAGTCAAGGAGAATAAAGGCTAGTTAAGATGAAAATAGGCAGTGAAAATCCATAATAGTTTTCATAAAAAAAAAAAAAAACTGCTTTAGAAGTAGATGAAGAGGGCCTAACATGGAGCCTCCAGTAGAGCAAGTGGAATTAAAAATAAAGTGATGTAAAGGTTTAGAATGAAACTGAAGTGAAGGAATGCTGGAAAAATATTTGACAAATTTGAATTGGAATGATAGCAATATTTCAAAGAGTAAAATTGAGACAAATGTTATAAATGTTTCTATCCCCCCCTAAAAAATTGATGAGAAGTTACAATGGCTATGAAAATGCTGAAAAATGATAAAACTACAAAACTGGATGACAGCTGAAAAACATGTGAATGCAAGGAAGGAAGTTTCTTATATATTTGTTAATTTAGAGAAAGATTAGAAAAAGTGAATAGGTTTGAATTACTGTTTGGCATGCCTATTGACTCAGTTGGTTGCTGAATTGCTGTAAGAGTGGTATATGATGTAAATAAAGCAAGTGTGAGAATAATTGGCATGCTTACTTCTCAATGTACGCATCTTACTTTTATGCTTCTTCTGACATACCCAACTCTTATTTCCATATAACAAAGTGTAACTGAGAGTCAGGGAGTATACAAGTTTAATAAATTATGGTTGATGTCTAGATTGGATTTGGCATTTTCATTCTATTGTTGTTGTTGTTGCTGCTGCTGCTGCTGCTGCTACTACTATTGGTAATCTACAATTGGATTCACAGTCTGATAAAGGCCTAATAATTCAAGTCCTAATTAAGGACCTAAATAATAACAACAACAACTATTATTATGTGGACTGAAGTGCATTTTTACAGCTAGCTATTTTTGCTTCTTTTGACAAATACATTCCTTGCATTAAACCAAATATTACTAACATTTATTTATGAGATTTGTCTACCGCATGAAATTAAAAGGACTCTAGGTGTATTAGAGTTTTATATGTAAGCATAATATAAATCAATATAATTAATATTCCTTTTAAGTCTCAGTTTAAATAAATGCTAAAGATAAAAGCTAACATTTATTGAATACAGTACTGCTAGTTGTAAATCCTCCCCAAACACCTTCTGAAGGCTAAAGGATGGTGGCCGTATTTGCCTCAGGGGCAGGCTATTCCAAAAAGGGGGAGTGCTACCCTGAGTACTTGCAGCTGGTCCCACTCCTGCCATACTTCCTGGTACATAGGCACTCTTAGGTGGTACCCCCTAGTTGTTCAGATAGGATGGGCAGAAAGTATTCAGGAAAGGCAGTCCCTAAGCTACCCAGGTCCCAAGCCATATAGGAATGTAAAGGTAGCAACCAGCTATAATATTGTGACTGTCCACTGAACATGCATGGCACTGCACTTTGGACCAGCTGAACATTTGGGGTGATCTTCAAGGGCAACCCCATGTAGAATAAGTTAGAGTCCTCATATCCAGAGATGGCATGAGAGACCATCTTCAGTG